TGAAATAAGCATAAATATAATCAGAACAAATGCAAAGATAATTAAAATAACGATTGTTCGCATAATATCACTTAATAATGAACGTCGTTCTTGAATAATTATTGTTTTTCCACGATCATGAAAATATTTTTTAAATAAATATTCTTTCCATTCATCTTCATTATCCGTTAGAAATGAATCATTAAATAGATCTGGTGGGGATTCAATATTAACTTTAGCAGAAAAAAGAACAATATTTTCATTCGATTCTTTTTTTTATTGGAGGTTCATATAAAATACAATCATAATCAATAATAAAATATTCAGATTGATTATGATTTTTCGTTAACCATGAACATTGTGATGAGTCCATATGAATACATTGAATAGAAATTGATCATCTTCGATAATTATAATACAAAGAAGATAATGCTTATTTAATCGTCTTTGACATGAACTTAGTGCACAACCATTACCCATATAGAATATAACTGAACGTAATTTAATAACAAAATTTAATGGACATGAGAGCGGACGAGTTGTATTCGTTGTCGTCATCTTCTCTGTTGAACAACATGTTTTTAATTGATAACTCCATATTGGAAGAATACGAATAAAAAGAATAAGTACGAAATAATTCGAATACATTATTATTAATAATGAACTAGGGTTGTGGGTGGGTGGGTGGGTGAGTAAAAGTTACCATAATATAAATTTTTGTATTTCAGTTTATACTGATAAATGTTATCAAGTGGCAAATATCTGTTCGAATGATTTAAATATTGAATTCAAATCAAAAACGAGATATTAATTCCAAATTCGAATGAAATTTCGACGAACACCTAAAAGGGTGTGTAAAAGTTACCAAAATACAAATTTTTGTATTTCAATTTATACTGATAAATATTATCAAGTGGCAAATATCTGTACTAAAATTGATTCGAAATTTGAATAGAAAAATCGAATCAAAAACAAGATACTAATTCGAATTCCAAAATGAAATTCGTAAACCCAACGGAAGGGTGTGTAACAGTTACCAGAATAGAAATCTGATTATTGAAAGTATTTGAAAAAATTTGTAGTCCGTGGTAGTAGCGTGGCATTGTACTTTGAGAAGGACTTTGGCGAAATCGTAAGTGTTTGTTAAATTTGTTTGCTCTTTGATTGTTGAATGAGAAGTCAGCGACAGTGTAGCATTTGTTGAAGTTGATAGTGTACATTTAACTTATTTTATTTGTGTGAATGTTAATCTGGTATGTATGATTGATTTTGTGAAGAATATGAGAACATTTAATTGTGAGGGATAGTGTGTTGGATTTTCGGTGTATTAGTGATGTCGTTGGAAATATACTGATGAGTTAGTCTGTTAGATCAGTTGTTTAGGAAACAAGATAATTTTTGGAGATTTCTCAGAGCTTGTATCTTATAGTTGCTTGTAGTTTTTGTGTCGTGGAATGATTGTGTTTTGGAATGAATCGGTTTTTATACGTCTATTGAGAAGTTTTGTACAATATTGTGTTCGACGGTCAATTTTTGTGGGAAGGTGAAATATTTGGTTTGGAATATGTAAAATCCTCTTGGAAGTGACTGGTAATTTTATTTGGTAGTGGTTTTCTTTTATTTGAGTTCCACTGATAATGTTGGTTTATGCTGGATAGTGTTTCGTACGTGGTATTGTTGCCGTTGTGATGGCTGAGTAAGAGCGAGTGGAGTCATGTTTTTGTAGTATCGATTCATATTTTGTTTGAGTCAAGTGCTTGTCTGAAAGCCTAGATAGATGCGAATAGGTCGTCGGTTGATTTTTCTTGTATTTGGTGGTGATGTGCTTTGATTTAGGACGAGAATGTCATGCGTTTGTTCCGTTTAGCATGTAAACTATTAAATGTCCATCGAAGATTATACTTATCTAGAATGGAACAATATATGAATATGATATTAGAGGAAGTGCAGAATCATGTTTTACTAATGTTAGATTAAGTATTTCACACATATATTACAAACATTAAAGATTAACTATTATCTACGAGGTAAATAAAGTTGCTTATATTGATTAAATGTTATTTTATAATAGTGACCATTGTAGTTTTAAAATGTCACTGAGTTGATGTCGTGGTTGACATTGATGAACGATTCAAATTAGCACACCAATGTAGATTATACGGACGACCGTAACGTTTTTCAGCATCACCACCAAGTGGACAAATCATATTCAATTTAGTTTCACCATGAATAATGAATAATGTTTCGATGATGTATCGTAGTATCATTGAACAATCATCTGGTACTAAATCAATATGAAAGAAAAACAGGTATAAATGATAATGATGATGATGATGATGTGGTTGATAAAGATAGATTTACTTACAAACGGCAATAATTGCTATGTTATACAAATTCAATTTGATATAAGGCCGGTAATGAATGGAAGAAGTAACAAATCGTTCGAAAAATAGACGCTGTTGTTTTAGCTGTCGAAATGAGAAGGCATAGGGAGTTGGTGGTAATGGTACATTATCTAGATAATTAGCCACCCTACGATTGTTTACGGCAGTAGCTGCTATCAGAGCATCCAGATTGGGATCTGTAGTAGAAGTTCCTGGACGATTAGCAGCATTTTCTGCTACTGCTTCATCCCAATGTAGAGGAATAAAACACCAATACATAGGATTACAATCAAGAAATGAACGAAGTGCTGCTGGACATCGAGCTGAATGTTAATAGAGACGCATCTAATTTGCCATTTGTTTTCTACAATAATGGAAAACAAAATAGGGAATATGTAGTGTAATCGAAAGAATGATCGAATGTCTTTTATTACTCTCTCTCTCATTAGGATCGATTTGTGATCCTCGAAATAGAGGACTATCAGTTAATTTTTCATGTATAATTCTGTTGCCATGTTCTCGATGATCTGTATATCATAAGAAAAAGAAGAAGAGAAATAAAGGCATGCTCATGATTATCGTAAGAAAATTTATATTTACAAGCCATAGCATGAGCCAATGTTTTTGCTGTTGAATCAATATAATCATAATGACCACATGGACATGTCATGGCATAGATCACATTCGATGTCGTACATGTCCAAAATTATAATGATAATCAATCAATGCCGGGGAGACAGAATTTCACCTTCTCACTTACAAGGAGGGGCTGTCGAACTCAAAAATTCATTTTAATTGACTTTATTTTATGTATATGATTCATCGAATAAATATATTATATGCGATGATTCATCCACCAATCACAGCGCATTATGATTAAGGCACTATTACAGAAGTGGCCATACTGTACAGTGCGAACAATAATGCACGTGTTACACATCGATAACTTTACTATAATCAAAACACGACCATGATATATACACATATTCCACATCAAAAGGAAAGAAAGAATTTATATATGGACATGAAACACGTTGTAATATATGCATCAAAGGAAAGAAAATTTTTTATTTATGGACACTAGTGAAGTCATGCTGTATAGTTATACAAGAGAGAGAATTCGAATACATATATAAACATCTCTCTAAGCATGACTCTTACGTAAGGAAAGAAAAAATCCTGTCATGTGATAGACAAGGTCATTTAATCTTTTGATACATAAAGTAAACATACATTTATTTCATTGATTTTCTATGTCTGACTTAGCAAGAAATTCGTCTAATCCACCACCATACTTCTACGACTTGAAGCCGGAACAACAAAAGAATTGGATGGAAACCACTCGTCGAATGGAAAAAACGAACAATTACGGGCAGAATATCCACCTTTTCAATCACCATCAAATTTTACGGTTCCTCATCTTCACCATTATTCATCAATCGAAACAGTAGAAGAATTAATAATGAAGGCGAGAGCAACACATATATATACGATCGACACAGAATCACAAATAATAAACAAGGTAGCAAAAGGTGCTCTCGTGCAAATCCAATTTATTCATTCAATTCACGAGTCAACATTAATATTAATTGAAATGTTTTACTTACCAAATCAAAATTCATTGTTATTCAAGAAAATTAAAGAACTTTGTTCAATCATATTTCGTGATGAAAATACAAAAATTACCTGGGGACCATACGACAATGAATTTAAAAATTTTCATTCATATGGATTATTTGAAAGAGGTAAGGTTAAAAATGCAATAAATCTACAGAATCGTTTTAGGGACTGGTACAATAAATCTACAAGTATCACGCATCCCGTAAGAGAAAGTTGTGAAAAGCAAACCACCTAGCCCTTACAGGATACAATGGCAACAGTTTTTCAACAATTTTTAGACAAGAACGAAACAGTTAACAAGTGGCGTTGTGGGCTGGACCTCAAACTCGATGCATGGAAGAGAAAACTGTTTAGTAAGAACCATTACAATGCAAATGAAGAACAAGAAAAACGTATATTAATGATAAAATATGCCGCTGCAGATTGCACCGCCGTCACAAAGCTTTACTTTATGATATATTCGTCAAATTCAACCATTCACACAAGTTACGAAACACCAACAACAGCATCGACAAATATTACATTAAATATTGATGATTTAACGGACATTAGTGAAGATGAAGAACCTCAAATATTAATGCCACAATTTG